CTCTCCTCCTCTCTCTCTCTCTCTCTTCTCTCTCTCTCTCTCTCTCTTTTTTTTTATGTTAACCGCATGCAATCTTGCTTTCCGAGCACAAAATGGAAACCGCGCGCACTCATTATTATTGCAGCGGAGTTTAATGCTGTGAGTTATTTGCAGATTTCGTATTTTGATATCTAACTTCGGTTAAAATATTAGCATAGAGAAAGATTCAAGTTTTCCAATTTTAAATTCTCCCCTCAGTCATATTGATTTATTTCAAAAACTTAACGCATGGCATTAAACACAAAACTGTGTCGCGCTCGCAAAAAGATAGCGCAAAAATTTGTACTCCGCGCCTCGACATTTTCGCCGACAAAGTAGATTTTAAACTCTACAATTAATAAGGCCGTGTGTGTTTAGTTTGCAAATATTTTTTCGCCTTGCGCCTAGCATGCTTCACGCGGATTAAGATACCTAATATAATAATTCTCTCGCACGTATTTAACATCGCATTGCAGCGTTTATGGTATGTGGAATGATAACGTCGTGTGTGATATATATATGTGAAATTGTACGGACATAGGCGAGGTGCGTTATAATAGATACAGAGGACAGTAATTGTGGTATAAGATTGTATTACTTTTCATTTATGCGTGATAAAATTGTAGTATATACGATTTTACGTGTAATATTATCCTCTTGTAACATTAAATTTAGTTGTTCGCGCAATAACCAAAAACGATACTAATTGCTCTTTAGAAAATTATTTCCAATTTACGACGATTAATAACTTTCCAATTTGTAAATGTATGATCTGTAGATCGATTAATAGAGCGTCTAGTGCGCATCAGGATAAATCCTCGTCGAATTACAAAATTAAACAAATATAAGCAATTAATTCCATTATGAAAAGAGGATGATAAACAGCGGGAAAAAAACAATATTTGCACATTCGCCGTGAGATATTTGTAACGGTAATTGTTTCGGAATGAGATTTATCAATTTCTTAAGGCGGTGCCTTGATTATGCGCGGCCCGAGTCAGCTGAGAAAACGAACTCTTCCGTTTGTTCCACGTTGAACTTAATTCACGCAAATGGAAATGCCTCTCAAACAGACAGACAGGCATAATTTACATTCCACGCCGCGAAAGTGACATATCAGAACTGCAGGAAAATCGTCCGATGTTCTAGTTAGAGCCCTCCTGACGTTCATTAAATCAAAGCGAATTGCATCTGGAAGAAGTGTTAATTGGCCAGCTCTTAACGTGGTCATCAATCAAGCGATCGATGTAAACGACCTCGGCGAAGTGATCGTCGCTAATGATACCGATATCAGGTCGTGTTTGCAGTTACTCTAATTAGATCTGGCTGGCACGCTCGTGCGGCGTTTCGTGCGGAAGAAAATTTTTAAACAATAATTCCAATAAATCATAATAATTTGCAGCAATTTTCCATGATTGTTACAATTTGATTTTAAATCCGATGTATGTATATTGTTGCGCGCAGTTCCGATATTTTTATTATAATATTTATTACACGTATGTGTCTGTAAATGCTTAAAGTTTCTCCGATTACAACAATTCTGCACGGTTTTAAATCATTCGGTCCACACACGCGATCCATCGAAATTTTATTTACACGTGCAAAAATTATTCCGCGATATGTAATATTTTTTTATTAAATATTCTGCATATCGGCCCTCCGCGGCGATTTATTATTCCAGTTTCGACGTTCTGCGCAACTTTCAAAAAGTCTGATGTGTTTTATAATTCGCATTTAATTGCAAAAGCGGACTATCATTGTGCCGGCGTTTCAGATCAGCCCTCTCTCGCTATGACGGTATTTAAATTGAAATTCGTATGATGCATCGCTCTCTCTCTCGTTTGACTTACAACATTTTCCGAAAGCAACTTCAATCATTTTCAAAGATTCCTCCGTGATAGTACGCTCGTTGCTGGAAAGCGCGCGGCGCGCAATATAATTCGCTCAACTAGTAAAGTGATGAAATAATAATAGCGCGATAGGAGCGCGCGTCCCGTAAATGTTGAAGCGCGCGAATGCAAAATTCGCCGCACACCCCGCGCCCCATCGTGTCCAACTTTTCTGAGAACCACTGGCACATTACAGGGGATTGTTTTCGTTGAAATGAAAAAACTTTCCCGTTAAAAGCGTCTTACATCTGTAATTCGCCGAAGGCTTCTCTCGCCAACGGCCCGATATTAGTTTGCCGAGGTATACGTCAAAGGAAAAATTAGCGTGTACGCGGCCGCGCGCCGCGGAGGATTAATTAATTCGCGCCGACCCGGCTGCAAATTCGACCGCATTTCCGCGATGCCGGATACCGGGTTTGGATTTCGAGTGTCGCTGAACTATTCTTCGCTAACTTGGGCGCGATTCGGCGCAATATCCGATGCACGGAATTTCGCGCGTCTCGGGAGTTTTTCGAGCCGGCTTAATCGCGCTGCACTCGAAAGCCTCGAAAGCGCGCGGCGATTAACTTACGCGAGTATTCCGCGCGGTAATACGCACACATCATAAGCCCGCATACACGCACGTCGCGCTTCGCCGAGCTTTTCTCTCTTCTCTCCCTCCCGTTTTCCTCTTTCGCCGCTTTTCCGCGTGCACCCGCGAGCGCAGACGTGGGAAATCGCTTAACGCACGCGTATTTTACGATGACTGACACAATTAATTTATAAATTACACGGCTCGCAATGTAATCAGCCGGTGTTACCCGTCAGTACCGCTAACTTCGCCCGGATTGTCGGCTTATTATATTTGCCGGCGCGGATTTATGCATTGCGCTTCAAGTTTGCGAGCCGGATGCGCGCACGCATTTTCCTCCGAAAATGTTCGCCGCTCGTTGCGCCGCGAGTGCTTTAGTTCGGTTATTAACTAAATGGCAGAGTAATGCATTAAGCATGCTAGATAGCCGAAATTATCTCGTTGTAATACGCCAACGCTCGATCTTGATAATGTATTCGTTGCTTGGCAACCGATGCGCGCAATCGATGCGTCTGCATAAAATCACGCACAGGAGAATTAACATTAGAGCGAAGAAGGGGGAGCGCAAAATTGTATTATTTGATTAAATCGCTGCGTGCGGTTGCGCAAGACGATAAATTCGCGCGCGCACGACAGAGAGAGGGAGAGGCTCGAGTCAGTGTACGCAGCGAATAAATGTATCTAAGTGTTCCGCGCCACTTGAGTCCAATTTAAATCTGACAGCAGCGAGGTCGAAAGAATGGGAAAAGGGTTAATCTCGCTATTTTCGGATCGAGGGGCGGCTTTTCGGTCGCGCGAAAAACCGGATTAAAGCGCACACTCGCGCGCGTACTCGCGCGCGCACACACCGCCGAGCTTTCTCCCACGCCTGATTCTCTTATTCCGAGAGTTGATATCGCGGTTTATGCATAGAAACGAGACGAAGCCAGGAATCCCATCTTTTCGCGCGCTTGCGAGCGGCGGAACACGACGACGCAGCCCCGTGACACAGTTAGTATACGTCTATCCGCCCCGTCTGAGCGTTCTCTCTAGAACGGTCCATATAGCGAATTGGCTGCTGCGCTCTTTATTTCCCGCCGCCTTCCACCACACGCGTCTCCCTCCTTTCCTTTCGCCGGCACGCCGCTGCTTCCTCCAGCGGACTCTGATATATGAATTGTAGCAAGGAAGGGGGGGGGGCTTAAAGGTATCGCGGGTTGAAATTATGGATATACGGGTATTATTTCTTCTGGCGCGCTCGCACACCAGAAGAGAGAGAGAGCCCCGCGTCTATCGCATTACCCCCGCCAGCACATTCGCGGTTTTATCAAGTTGAGAGTCTTCCGAGCCGTGACGAAGTGCTCCGTCGCGCCGCGGCGACTTGGTTTTTACGGGCCCCGCCCGGATCATCGCGCGAATTGATTTATCTTTGTCTATTCCTCCGACTTAGCAGCAAAGGTTGCCACTTGATCTAATTGATGACGAAAAAATTGCAGAACGACGTTCGAAGTTACAATTTTTATGCGAATGTTTGAATTAATTCTGCAAACTTGATCTCGGATGCCGGCTACTTCGAAGCACTAATTAAAATTGAGTGACGTTAGACAGATGAAAAATCAGATAAAGATTTGCTTGACGTTTCTTTGAGGTAAAGAAAGAATTGAATGTAGAAAGAATTCCACAAATGAGAGGAATTCCGGCGATTTTAAGACGTTCTTATAAAGTGCTCGCCGAAATTCCCATTCCGCGAAGTTCTCTTCCAGAAGTGATTGCGGCCGACTTTCTCTCGGCAAGTAATTAAGGAAGATTACCGATAATAGTTCAAAGGCCCGGTCAAAGCGATGGCGACAATGGTGAAGGAAATGCAAAAGCACGACGCGTACTGCGCGTGATGTGCATTTCTCATCTGTTTGCAGTGCAGTAATCCTTTGTGCTCGCATGTCCAACATACGATTACTCTATTCGCTACTGTTGAAATGTCCCCGCAAGAGATAAACGCGTATGTAAACGATGTCCGCAACGTGGAATAATAATATTCGCGATTAACTGCGAATTTGTTACCTGTATTTGTATTCTTTATTAAATTCGCAAACTGCAAATAAACGACGGCGCGATAAACACGACACTCGATGCGTTAAATAGGCAATAAAGTCGCTGTTAACGGCTCTACGCTAATCCGTGAAATCCGCTTTTCCGATCTTCCTTTTACTCTCGCCGTAACTGGTCCTTAAAATTCGATAAAGATGCTTCTTTCAAGTGGCAATATCTGCAGAAATGCCGTGTAATAATCGGAATGGATTAAACGCGGCGCAAGATACGCTTAAATCGAAGATAAAGACAATAATGACGTGCACTTCATTATAGAATATACGCTATGCAGACGCGTCGGGTGTCTCGTTTTGTCGAAGATATCGCGACACTCGACGTCGCGACACCTTTTCATTAGCGTAATTTGCCGCTCGAACGTTTAGTAAAAAGCACTAGGAAACTCGAAGACGTAGAAAATCGTTCGGAACGAGCCGCGTTCACACGCCCGGCGATGTGACTTGCCTTGGCGAAACCGGCGCGAGTCATATAAAAGTACAAACGTCCTCCGAGGACCGGTTTCAGAAAACTGCTCCGTACATATATCGCTCCGCAAACCTCTCTCCGCTGTCGAGATGCACCAAGCAGGTGCAACGCGAGCGAACAGCATTCGTCACACCTGCTGTTACAGCGAGCGAAATCGATTCCGATTGTCGGTTCGTTGATCTATAACCGTCGATTCGTTATATAGCTTTTTTCTCGTCAAAACAGAAATATACAGAATAATTTATAAATGTTATTTTTTAATTAATTTGAATTAATGTTATTTAATTTAAGAAAAAAAAAAAACAATTGAGATTTCTTAAAAATTTGTTTTTGCAACAATTTGTTAAATCCAACATGATATAGTAAACAAAATTTATAAAAGGTTATAATTGTCGACTTTATTTTCTCCTTTTAATATATTTTGCAATAATAATAATATTAATAATAATACCATTGATATTAACAGTATCAAATATTAATGTAACATTAATATGGATAATACGTAATAATGTTATAATATAATAGATAATATTATTATAAAATAATAATGTAAAATTATTTAATTTGCAATATTTCGTTATATTGTTGAGTTTTTTTTTCAATTGCGTGCCGAGAAATTAGGAATTGTAAAACTCTGGCGCGTTCACAAAATGAACGTCGACTGTTCAAAATTCCAAGGAAAATGTGGCGCCGATATGCAGACAATGTCGACCCAGCACGTTTAAAAGTTCCATGATAACAGCGCGCATATAACTGACGCCGTGGTACAATAACGCTGACAGAGTTCCAGAAACTACAACGAAACGCACCAGGACTGTATTGCACATTAGAAACGTGTACGTTTAAGGAGATAAGGAAATTACGGCGGTTAATTATTGCCCTGAGTATATATTGCATTCGCTTTGGATCTTCTTGCACGGCGAATCTAATTCAGGAGAACTAAAGGAATAAATTAACATTAATTATTTTAACTGCATTAACGTTTTCAAAACTCTCGTAGTCTAATATTAATAATACTTTGATCGATTTTGTAAATTGATTTTTCTGTAAAAATACTGTATATTTAGATTTTTGTACAAACAATTTCTCTTGAGTAAAAATTTTTCAAAATAAAATTTATCTTGATCTTAAATAGATAATAGATTTAAGATTTCGTGGATCAGTTGCATTTTGTAAAACTTTATTTACGGCAAGTTGTTTTATCGCCAACTTTTATAACACGAAAATCGATGATCCCGTGTTTTAAATAATAAAAATTTATTCGAAAGAAGCCGGGTATTAAAATTGAGATCTGCGACATCCTGTATATGAAATGTACACAATGTATGCAGGAGGTAATGCATAAACGATATTCGAAGAAAAATTACCCTCTTAATGTTAAATATTCCGGATCCAAGCTTCGTCGAAAATTTCACTGAAGCACAATAATGAGTTCTGAAAAGTTGCCCAGGAATTTCATTACAGCCCCCGATCCGTCGCAAATTTCTTCGGAAAATTTCTTTGTAGCAACGACGCCGCATAAATTCAGTTAGCTTCGTTTCTGTTCGCCTCTCGCCGATAGAAATTCTGCGAGGGCAGCGCGCTGGCGTAAAAGAGCCGATATTAGAGGGCAAAGTGCTACGAGAATCCTGCGTGACTCTGTACTTTTCTTCGGTAACTACGCCACGTCGGGGCATTTTTCTCGATTGACCGTCTCGTGAGAGTTTAATAGGGGCAATATAAAAGTTTCTCTCTATACGTCCGTCTGTCCGAGAAAACATGATGACGCGCATTAGTGAGTATTGAAAGAAAAGGGAACTGGCGTCTTCTTATTTATGGTTTTTTACGGACAAACTTCCGATTGTTCCTTAATGAGCAGTTGTACGCGGGATATTTTATATATACACATCATTTATTTTATATATATATTTATTACATTATATATAAATATAATACATGAAAAAATTAAGAACTTCTAAAATGTGAAACAAGATATATATTTTTTATCTAATTTAAATTGTTTCTAATTGCAGCTTCGACACGAGAGGGAAAAATAACTTGGACGACGGGAGTCACTGGCAGGATCGGAATTTAGAGGACCGCGCGTACTTTCAGCACTCCGAAAACCCCGCAAAACTCACCCTGAAAAATGTTCGCGAGAACGACGCAGCTGTTTACAGATGCAGAGTCGACTTTAAGCAGTCGCCAACGCGCAACAGCAAAGTCAATCTAACGGTCATCAGTAAGTTCCTAAACGATATTCCGCATTGACCTGAATACGAGATGCGCCCGATAATAAGGAGAGCACGTTTCTTTTTAACTTTTTCAGGACGGGCGTGTTTGTTTGAACACGTATTATAAGTTTTTATTTTCGAAAGTATTTAACAGTTTTTAATAAAGCCTTCCGTTTTGAACTCGATAATTGTGAAAATTGAATGAACTAGTGTAAATTGATATGATGAACTATTTTTATAAGCAAAAAATGTACTTATATCTTTATAAAAATAAATACTTGGAAATTTTCTCGCTGTATCAAAACTTTAAAAGATAGATTTAAAACCGCGCTCGTCCTGAAAGAATTAAATCACACACGCGGGAAACGACAATAAAGCAAAATGATAATTTCCAGATTGTTCAAAAACCGAAAAGTTAGTAATTTCCAAAAATTTTATATGCAGTATGGAAAAAACAAGTATATCAGTTAACATCTTTTTTTTCATGACTTTTAATCGAATTGACGATGAAACTTTTCGAACAGATAACTCGCCCTGATAACATTGAAAATTTTCTGAAAATTCAGTTTCGAGTATGCAATTGCACTCCCAAATTGCATTGATCAATTCGGTATTTACGCTTTCCATACCGTTTCTAATATAATCGACACCGTTATCGGATCGCTATTGCAGCTATTCGAACCAACCCACGGGTTCAAAACGGTACACCAACTGTATTTAATTCTTTTTTTGCATCGCATTGGAGTAACATTTTCTTTAATGTAAGAACGGCTACGTGACCGTGCCGATAATACCGAGCGAGTAGATCCTAAACGTCGTATACCGATACATTAAAATTTATTTTTTTTATCTTAGAAATAACACCGCCTTAATGGTAAAGGCGGTACGTGACGACGCAGGCTGATACATCGCTGTGCAAATTGATTCACCTCGGTGGCCGCGCGCCGCTCTTCGCGTCGACACTTGTGCAGTGACGCGGATATTAACATTATTAGTGATATCGTAAATTTTTCCTTGCATAGTAATGCTGAAGAAAATTTGAACACGTAAAGACTTGACTTAATGGTTTGAAAAAAAGACAAATATGTTTTATTAAGAAAACAGCTGATTTTTAAGTACGTAACTTTTTTTAAATTTATTGTCGATTTGATGAAAAAGATGAAAAAAGGTAAATTAATATTAATAGCATTTTGCATATTTGTTTTATTGTCTGCTCCTCTTTTTATATTTATTTAATATTTTTCTCTTATTAGTTGCACAGAATGTTAAGTACAAATTTCAGAATTTGCGGAAAACAAATGCATATAGTTGTTTTTTGTATAAAAGAAGTTTTTACTTTACAGAGAAATGATGAAAGATATTATTGACTTTATTTAGTTCTTCAATATTTTAGCGACTCTATTTTCATGAACATCTTTGTCGATATTTTGTTAATTTAATGAAAAATATTATTCAAAAATTTACTTTTGTATTAGTAGCAAAAACCGTTAAAATATACGCCGGACATAAGTGCTAATTTTATGTAAATACTCTTTTGCAGGATAAATGATCCTATTACGACGATGAGATCAGAACGAAACTGATAACAATAATTACCGCTATTTTCTCGATTTCATTAACACTTTGCATACTAGCGACGTATCTATACGCCGTCAGCATACTTGCAATCTTAACAGCCAACGTACACTTACATAATAATATTTCACATTTTTCATTTAATATTGTTACATTGTGCAACCAGAAATTTTGTTTCTAGATTTTAATTTAGCAACTTAAGAGCATTTTGAATAGGTTCTTGCTTACCGTCGCGAACCTTCTTACACGTCTTGCATTAAATGGAGATTGATTAGCATCGTCGTGATAGTAGCCGCAAAGCGTCTCGTCTTCTTAGGTGACACAATAGAATTGATACATTGTTGGGCAAATTGAGTCATCCCCAAACCCTCGTTGTTTGCGCTCCCAGACACTCCGTATAAAAGGAGGAGCGTAGAGCTTCTTATTGTGAAAATTATTACAGTACCGCCGGAGCAGCTTATCATATTGCTCGAAGACGGCGTTCATATTCCCCATTACATCCTTGGCCCGTACAGCGAGGGAGCGTCTATCAATATCACGTGTGTCGCCGCTGGTGGTAAGTGCATGACGCGTCGATGCACTCCCGGTGCATTCGCCTCCTATAACGCTCAGGCGTTGCCTCGACTTGCACCACTTGAGTTCCACGTTACGCGAAACAAATGCGGCTCGATTTCTTTGATATTTCAGCCGTGCACATTATTCATAGTCACGCGTTTTAAAGTTCGAACAGTAGAAAATAAAGTAAGTTATTTTTTTTTTTTTTTTTGAGAGTGAAACCGGAAATTTCGTGAAAATATTTTATCAGTTAATTTCCTGCATCGATAGAAGGTCACAAAGCTGTTGCAGGATGAATTACTTTTTTGTGACCGAAAAAATCTAATGTTTTAGAAGAAACTGAAATTTAGAAAAATAGAAAATAGATTTTTGGCAACAATTTCGCATTAAGTAGAAGAAAATATGTATAGTGTCATAAATATCTCTAAAGATCTTACATTTGAAAATTCTGGCTAAATTCTTTTGGTAATAATGTAAAAAAATAGAGACGTTTTTTAAAAGAAATAATTTTTGGAAAAAGTGTAAGTAATTTTTTATGAAAGCTTTGAAATTGTATATTATGATTGCTCTTTTAGACAGAATTGTAACTTTCTATTATATATTTCAACTTTATATTTAATCGACCGTTCGTATAACAAAGTGTCGTTAAGTCGAGATGCGATTATATGCCGAGCGGATGCTATTAGTGCAACGTAGCATCGACGCATATTCGCCACTCTGGACCTTTATGTTTCTTCAGGGCGACCGCAACCACGAGTGACATGGTGGCAGGAGAATGCTCTACTGGACGACAGCTACGAGACCGTGGGTACTAAAAGGGTCCGCAATGTGCTGCGATTGGAAAAGTTAGGCCGCGAACATTTGCATGCGGTTCTGACCTGCCAGGCTTCAAACAACAATATGGTGGCACCGATATCGAGTTCGGTGTCACTCGATATGTATTGTAAGTAATTATAAGGGATCCTGCGTTATGATTGATGAAAGATTTTTTTATATCTTCAATTTTCGCAGGAAAATAAAATATCGCTGGCTTTTTTGCGCGTGAATATTCTGCAATTCGATATAAAGCAATTTTTACAAATAAGTGAAAGATTAATAACATTTACTTTATTTGTCTTTTTAATAAAATATTAGGCACGAAAAGTCACAAATGGCAAACATGTGTATCATTATTTGTATTGATAATTGACGTACAACTGAATCATTTATAAACCACAACAGTGTATTATTAATACATTATCTGTTTGCTAGAGTAAATATTATAATACAAATAATTTTAAAAGAGTACATTTTATTAATTTATTATATTATAAAATGAAATGGTAAAATTATCCAGCTTTTAAAATTTCTTTTTTAATTATTATTAATAATTTAATCCACTTTTTGTATTGGCAATTGAAGATCGCGCAGAGAAAGAGAGCGTATTAATTATTACAATTTATTGAGAGAAAAAGCATGAATTGAACTTTTATTGGAGAAATTTCTATTAACTTCGCGATCGCGCGCACGAATCGATAGATGCTTAAATCCAAGTGTGATACACTCTTTTACAGTGAAACCGCTCTGGGTCCGGATTCAAGGAGAAAACCGTCCATTTAGCGCCAACAGGAGTTACGATATAGGTTGCGAGGTTGTCGGAGCCAAACCGAGTCCGACGATCGCGTGGTCTAAAGGAAACACGATACTGCGAAATGCACGAGAGATGGTACGATTCAAAATAGATTGTCGACAATTTAATACACTAGCAAATTACATGAATTACGTTGAAAACTCTCCAAACAAGTGTTTATTATTTAAATTTTGATTCAATTCTTTTTCGAATATTTAGATTTGATACTCCAATTGTTTGGAGAATGAGAATGCAAAAAATTGCGGAAAAACTTAATTTTATTAATGTCGAAGATCCGATTGATATGAATGCAATGCCAAACTTGGTGCATAATCATTGGCGTCTTAGAAGCTTCGAATTCAATTTGTCACGGCGGCGATTTGATACGGCGGTGTATATGCATATTGCGATTATTAAATTGTTTGGTAAACTGTTTTAAATTCATGAAATCCTGTGCCGGCAGACGAGCACCGACAGCAACACAACAACCAGCATCCTCACATTCGTGCCGAGTATCGAAGATGCCGGAAAGTTTCTCTACTGTCGCGCCAGCGTGCCAAATATTCCGGGCTCAGAGATGGAGGACCAATGGAAGCTCAATATATATCGTGAGTGTTTTCACAGAAACGCACCGGGGTGTCCCGCAATTTCGCGTATGCGATCGCGCGTTGTCGCGCAGTAGAAACTTCCATCAATGTAATATTTTTACAAGCACGTTGCGCATGCATATCGTACATATGTGCTGCAAAGTCAACATTAAAATATCAATCGGGAGTTTACTTCTCCAAATCACTCTTTGTACTTTACTTTTTCGTTGCTATCATCGAGATCGTTCACGTAAAACGATATTTACTGTTAGAAGCAGATTCATTTTATTTTAAAGATGATTGTCAAAGGTAGTAATTGATTTTTTTTAACGATTGGACCTTTTTTTTATCAACATAGATTAATAAGAGCACATTACTTCCTTCGGTGTGAAGCATGTCAATTTTCTTCGGCTCGACGCAACACAATTTAAAATATTAGTATCTTCGACATTTTTCTCGGTGTTGTATCGTAATTGTTTGAAATTTATCAACACTCGGAGCAGATCGGCGTGCGAATCTAACGGCCGTGTCGTTGGCAAATGTCGATGCTGCATCGTAGTTCAAATTGCACTCCGGATACAACTTTCCAGCGGCATTAATACGTAAAGTTGCAGGACGAGTCGCCCGACGCTGCAGCGAGTCGGGGATTAACGCCGTGATTTTAGTGTCCAATATAAAAGTTTTTCTCTAACCAATCCGAACGAGAGAGAAAGAGAAAGCTCCGCGTGGAAATTAATGGCACATGCCGATCCACCGCGCCGGACTGAAGATTCAGTCCGATTTCGCACCGCGTTTCCACTACTTCGACTACCTTGGCAGCCCCATTTTCTCGTCTTTCCACGGTTTTTTCCATTAGTTGCGTCCGCCAGTAATTCCACGACGGGCGGAGCTGGGAAATGGTGAGGAAATTTACTCGTTTATTGCGAACGCGAATCGACGAAACGGTGGAATTATCGGATTCGCGCGGCATTGCTGCGAAAGAAATCGTAAGTAATGCTCGATACAGTCGCGCGCAATTTTTTTTTCCGGAAGATAATACCGCGGAACGGACGCCGGACGACGCTCTCTCAATGGGAAAATGCGTTGGCGTTCGATGCGGTTGACCATTTATTTACAACGATAACCGACGGGTAAAAGCACACCGCCACTAAAAGTCGCGCTACAAAATTCAAAGATTTTTGTAAATAATTGTAAACAATTAATAATTACGAAGCAAATTATTATTATAATTTATTTTTATAAATTTACAATAAATTGTGAATATTAAAAAATACTAAACGCAAGGACTTTTGAAATGACATAAAAAATTCTGTGTGATCTGCAAATATGATTATTTCAATAAAATAATAATTGTTAAAGTAAGTCAATTTTGTATCGAAATGTGCTAAAAGAAGTTTCGATTTTTATTTTTTTATCCGACTCTTTTCACGACTTTTGTTCTTTATTCTACTGCGCGGTACTAAAGCGTTAATTACTGTAATTAAAGCGGCTCCTCATATTGGCACATTTCGCCTACAACTTTGATGTGTCGATTCTGTTTTCAGACGCGCCTGTGGTTTCCCTCGAGCTTGGCAGCAATTTGAATTCGAGTGCTATTCGGGAGGGTATCGACGTTTACTTCGAGTGCAACATCAAGTCCAATCCCTGGGTTTACAAGGTTACCTGGCGCCATAACGTAAGTCCACACCCCGCGCGCACGGTACAGGACATAGATAACGAATCCGGTTCAGAAATCGATAATATAAGCCGACGAAGCTTAATCGCGTCGAGATAAGGGAACGATAGCGCGCACCTGCGACACAGCAACTTCCGTCCGAAAACTCGCGCGTTTGATCTCGGATTCGTATCGCCGAGACGCTACGCAGAGCGCATATAAAGCGGACTTTCCCGAGATAGTAATTAACCCATAGAGAGCCCGGTTTTAGAAATTTTCTCACGATCTGAACATTTCATTTTGAGAAAAATCGGGTCAATATGTATTTTTCTGATCTTAAAACTAGGATACGTGACTTCCAATTTGATATAAAAAAATAATTTCTTATTCCGTTTTACAATATCTAGTATGCATAATTTAATTATTAGATACTAATTTCTTTTGTATTTTTATTAAAAAAACTGAAGCTTTAATTTTTTAATCTGATAAAAAAAACCGGACGCAATATGGTTTAACATACATGAAATTGTATAATATATATAAATCATTTTTATATTGCGCGCATAAAAATGATTTCCTCTTACCAATATTAGGATAGCCTGTATGTTTGATATGAAATTCCTAGCGTGAATTGCAACGCGAATATCGAAATTTCCATGAATAATAATTTATCGGAATCACGTGATTGAATTTATTCTAAGCTGCTCGAATATGCAATGTTTTTCCTCAGTATTATAATGATTCGCATGATTGATATGGATTGAAAATCGCAGCGCAAATTCGGCCAGCTGATATAAACTGGCACTTTATCAGCTATTAATAAAAATGCGATCCGTCAATGCCCGTTTTTTAATCCTTTCATTCGTTTTCCGTGAGCGCTTTGCTTTATCAATAATAAAACTACGCGCGATTGATTTAGAACTGATGGTGTAGTATGATGTAGTTCGATTTATATCGCAGATATAAATCAGTATATTCTCTGTCACACCATCAACGATTGAGAAGTAATTGCATTTATTTTTAATCCTACAAAACAAAGCATAGTGTTTATCGCTGTTATACGACCGAAAAAAAAAGAATTTGCTGGCACACCAAATTTTACGCTGTTATAGCAAAACGTGTTAGCTATTATATGAATAGCAAAGAGATTTGTTGCGGATGCTAATTTTATTTACTGCAAATAATTGTGCTAAATTTGCAAAATATATCGCTATTATAACAAATTAATTTTCACTTTGCCATCAAAATTTGCTGAAAATTAAATTTAAGATGCAAAGCAAATTAAAATTAAGATGCAAATAATAATGTCGTTAAAGTCTGCTTAAAATTTTAGAAATATTTTCACCTTTATCTTTGATAGTTACAAAATAAATCAAAGATAGAGGACATTTTAATTTTGTAAAAAATATACATACATTAATATTTGATATTAATAAATATTATAATATTAAAGTTCCCTCAGTTTCAGTGAAGTATTGGCTTCTCGAGCTTTGATATCCGTTCGAGCCAATTTCGTGGCTCTTATTGCGAAGGAACATCGTATATGCGCGAAAAACGAAAATCCCAATCAATTCCCTCGATTCGAAGACTCGAAATTTGTTTCGCGAAAACTCAAAGCCGCTTTTGAATGTCTCGAAAGTCGCATGTGCGGCGAGGGAACGCGAGAGATCGAAAAACTGTCAGCGCTCTTCGTCGCGAATTTTTCACGCGGGATTTATTATCGCATGTGCGAGAAAAAGCGCTAAAACTGTATTCGCATTTTTTGCAACATTAATATCACGCGCAAAAAAATGCGTAATATTAATCTATCCACATTTTGTAGCTGTTACATACATTTATTTATTTGTCTTTCATTTATTATTTCTTTTCGCTTTTACGCTCAATTCAAATTTTATATTATTACATTTTCTTTTAATCATGAAGGAAAGAAATATTTATTTTGCTACAAGATTCCAATGAATTCTTTCAAATATTTCGTTGACAATAAATATTTGTGTTTAACAAAGATTCGCTGTAAGTTTAAAATGGTCTACTACTTGTACGCTGCGTTCATGTTCGCAAGTTTATTCACGGTAGCCTAAGTAAACACAACATGGCCTCATTTGATTTTGCATTCGCAGGGCAATCCGCTGTATCACAATCCGGCGACCGGAACGATAATAAGTAATCAGAGCCTGGTGCTGCAAAGCGTCACTCGCAGTAGAGCTGGGATTTACACGTGCATCGGCTACAATCAAGAGGGCGATAGCGAGAGCAATCAACTGAACTTGGACATAAAGTGTGAGTATCTGCTACATACATTTCCCGCATGTCATCTACCATAATCCACTGGCGCTCTAATGTGTGAAGCTGGCGTAATATTTCGCGGAAATAAACTATTTCTACTTGATTTTTCAACAACAATTCTGTAGCTCCCGATAGATACTCGAAATGATATGTCAACTCTGTACATACCGTTGCAACTCTTCTCAAAATGTTATTCGTGGCACTTCATTGTGCGTGACACTTAAGTTCAGATTTGTTAAATAATTTTTTGATGGAAATTTAATTCTTTTTATTTGAAATATTTTTCTAATCATTAATATTTCCTCTCCCGTTTTACCTGAATTTGTAGTTTTATCATTATTTTACCAGTTTGCACGAAAAACTTTACACTTTATAAGTTTGCAAAAGGATTATTGCAGTTGTTTGTAATTTTTCTTATTATACACTTAGGGAGTAATTCCCTCCTGTTAAACACGTATTCCCTCCTTAATCTCGAAGTTTGAACGTGCAATTTCTCGGCGTTGTTCTCTATGTATCGAATCACAATTATCTATGGCCGAAATAGGGAATGCGTCTTCCGAATCTCTAGAGTCTCTGGACCGGGCGGGCACTAGAGTTAATTTCTGTGTCACGGAGTTCACCGCACTCTGGCACATAACTGATACTGACACACCGGTATGCGCGGATCGACGTTAAATCAGCTTAGGGGCGCGCTTTGTTTACGAGAGAGCATAAATCGGGGCGTAGGAGGAAACGTCCGCGCATTCGGAGCGCGCGGTGAGATTGTTGTTTCATATTGTCGTTTAATATCCCGGCATCGCGCACTATAAAAGAAAACAAGGTTTCATAAAGACTCGAGAGGGACGACTCGAGCGGATGGCTGAGCGTAAGTCAATTTCGTATGCACGCGTTAACTTCTTAAGCGCTACAACCAAGTTTTGACAGCTCTTTCAGATTGTTGTAAAAAAAGAATTCCAAGACCTGTATTAGCTTCAAACATTGTGAGTTATAAAACTCGCCGTGATACCGTGAATATAACAGCGTGGGTTATCACGCAATTAGTTCACAGATTTCATAAGAAAACGGATAAACCGATAATGCGAGTAAAAATAATGTCGTTATTATATTCGAATTCTCAATTAGATATTTTTCACCTTTTTTTTTTTTTTTATCCCCGTCTCATCGTACAGCTGTGTGTTCGATCAACGGATGAAATCGAAAATGATTTAATAAACCATAAGTTCATAAATCATTCACGGTATAATGCACCTCATTCGATAACAAAATAACGTAAAACTGGCGATAACGAGAAATATCGCCGGCCGCGCGCAGCGCGATTCGCCAGTATGAATTTATTATAGTGATGTATGCGCGTTGATCCTTTTTGCTCTTCCTAAGTAAAATATCTTTCACCATGTAGAGTTCAGCGGGCATTAAATCACCCCAAACGCTTTACATACGTAGGAACATACGCGCGTACGTGCATAACCGAGCAGTTCTGTCTTAAGTCTGTGTGTCTGTCTTACAACTGACTGACATATGCCATCGTTTATATGGCAGCTGCGCTCAACAGTATTTAGTGGCTTTAATGTACATAAATTATCCACGGCTAATCCACGCACAGATTAATAGTTGATCAGTTTAAGTGCTCGTTTCTCTCTCTCTCCACCTCCTTTTCCTTCGCTCATCATCAAACGTGTATAAAACGTTTACTAATGGAAAACTGACAACCAGGACGGTAGTCTTATATCTTTTCTCAAAACCTTCTTCGACAAAGATATTCTAGATGTAATATATTATGTTTGCCTCAAATTTTTGGTAGAAAAAAAATTGTTCTAAGAAATGAAAGAGGAAGAAATGGTTTAAGAAGAGAAATATGCGTAGCGATCAAAATTTGCTCCTTCGAATTTGTTAAATAATTTATATCTCTACTATTGATTCTTTCGTAATTCTAAAATATATTCCAAAATAAATTTTGCTAATGAATTTTGTCAATCGAGCGGGATGCAATATGAAAGCTTGAAATAAGAGAAGTATCGGAGAATTCCATAAAATTACGAGATCGAGATGAGTTACAATGAAAAGTTAAAGCATGATTAACGGAGCTTTTTATCATTTCATCGCTTTGTGAATATAGTATCAACGTCCGCCTTTATAATTTAGCTGTCGTTGCAGGATGTGTCTCCGGCTAAAGCTTTGACTGAAATTGCCGTGTCGTTTCTGTTAATCTTCTTCATTCCTTTCTACTGAAACAGCATTACGCTAGAATAGATTTTATTTTTAAAGACCGCGTGCATCAGTAAAAATGTCGGGAGTGATACGCGTCATCAAAACCGTATTCCGCGAATATTTCGCCGACGACGAAGTTTCGCGTGTGCATTCACGTTGGTTTCGGCTCTAACGAAAACTACGTGAATTTTCGCGTAATTATACTCGCAATTATATTGGTTTTAATAACCCTTTTGGCAAGGTAAATGGCAGAGTCTCGTGAACGTCGAATGTTCCCGTATAATCCGTATTTTCTTTGTTCCTCCGGGCGGCAGCCTCGCTATTTTACAGCTAACTAAGCGGCTTAAGATCTCGAATACGGCCGAGCTCGAAGAAAAGGAGCTTCTTGCCGCGCGCATAATTATACGTGCTGAAACTGAATTAAAATCTTAAGCTACGTTACGCGTTCGCACACGTGATTCCGCAGATTTTCCGAGGCGAAACGCGCTCATACCTGTTAAAACTCGAGATAGATCTCAATTTAAATTTATGCGCCGTATTTTGCGTAATGCGTCTGTTTAACAATACAAGACGCACACAGCGCATTACGCATAACTTGGAAATATTTTTCTACCAACTTATTAAAAAAAAAAAGAATAACTCGAAGAGAAATTCTAGGATTAAGAGGAACTATTTTATTTTTTCATAGAAAATATTGCTGCACTTAGTGCGTTTATAATTGAATATTTTTATATAGCAGATTTTTCATTCCAATTTCCTGGAAGAATTTTTATATCAATAATCGTTTTAGTTTATATAAAAAAGTTTAATACTTTAATATACATATAACATTTTAAATGTCACGCTACAATACAATTTTAAATATAATTATGCATTTTAATTATTTTTCCTAAAAAATCAGAATTGTTTGGAGAAAAATATAGATCAAATATTATCAGAAAAAAATAATACTGTTTATACACCAAGATTAATTAGCATGAAACCAATACTTTAGAGAAAAGCGCACAATTCTAAGCTGCAGGCAGTATCAACATCGAATTTGTATAGGAAATATTCGAGAGAAGTTCTTTGAAAATCGTCGATACTGCAACCATGCTTTCTAGATGCGAACCGTGTTTAAAAATTCACCGATCCGCAATGCGTCTCGACGTCTAACGCGATCACGTCTAACGTTTTCGAGGTACCTTGACTATAAGATACAAATCGATACGAAGAACTTATCGAGAGCAGTCGGCAGCTGGATCTTTGCTCGATTTCTTTTCCTGTATAATTGCATCTGGGAAGAGTTTGCGTTTCGGCTGTCGCGCGAATTACAAGACATGCGTCGCCGGTAACAACCTGTAATTAATGTGCCGAGTCGAAAAATTCCGTTGTTCAGCCGTTCGTCGAAGTTAACGTCGGACTTAATCGGAGGGTTTTAAACCGGTAGCAATTAAACGCGATAATAGTAATTAGTCAGAAGCAAGCGGTCGGCAACTCGGCTAATATATGCATGTTAATATTATTCTAGAAATTTGAAATTAAAAAATCTTGAAAGTAAAAAAAAGGAAAAAATATGTAACATCGCGCAACGCGCGCAACGTGTTGTAATATGCAGCATTAGTAAAATTTCGCATGACAGCGCAAAAGTAATGGGACGAAATGCCGGTTGTTTCTGAAATTTTGAGAAAAAATCCGAAATTTATTTAAGAAGAGTGATATTGCTTTTTAATAAGAAATTATCAAGCCGTTTTAATCGCGAACGCTGATTTGCATCAAATATTTTACTTTTTTGTAACAAAATTTACATGTCAAAAATTATTATTCCATACGTATATATATTTTTTCCATAGATATACTTCGATTACCAAGCGCTACTATTTTATATTATCGTCAGAAACAATTTAGCAATATCAAATGAATCGAACACGCTAGAAAAGTAGCTGTTATACAGGATTGCAAGATCACATTGCCTTTCTTTCCGTCTGTCTCGGCATCACACTGCGAGAGAGAACGGATTACCGTAATACTTTGCATCGAATTGTTGTAATACTTTTTGTGAGATACACAAGACGGGGGAATTTTTGTGAAATTCCTTTAAGCAAATCCGCTGCTACTCACCGTACGAACCGCAAAGTGTACATGGCATAAACGTGGAGCCCTTTAACCGGCGTCGACGCGCGCAAAGTAATGCAGGTCGCTCAAATAGAAATTGCGCGATTAATGCTTAATTACACGTCGCGGCAATTTCGCGCGGGGCTGCTGCACTTTTATCACACGAACCCCACGCGAGCGTCTAGTACATAAAATATTAAACACCCTTATTTAGCACGAATATAAATCTTGTGATAAGAAGCGAGTAGCGACAGCAGAAAAACAGCGGAATTTCGTTCTTATTAGATAATCTTTCTCTTGATTTAAAGCCGTTTTCTTAAAGTCCATTATTTTTTCTGCTATTTTGGCATGATATTACGTTATAATGTGATTAGAAACAGGAAAACGTCTCGCGCAATAAAAGATCTAAAGAATGAAATAAATTTTCAAACAAAGTTTTTGTTTTTGATAAAGAAAATCTATCGGCCATGCGTGTATTGTAAATGTATTTTATAAAATCCGTCCTTTGAAATTTTCATGAAAAAAATTGTTTTATACAACGACGGAAACTTTATCTGCACTTGTTAGCATGCGTTTAATGTAATTGTATCTATCTATCGAGTTATATCAATAATATAATAGAAATAAATTCTTTGATATTTGAAATATTGTTCACATGCGGTATTATCGGTAATTTTATCGTAATACACTAA